TTCTTGTTGCCTAGGACAGAGCCTCTGCCTTATTTAAAACATGTGCTGGAAGGAAAAGGGAAGCCCTGATTGTTTTGATCACGCTTGATAGGAATAGAGCACCTACAACACCAGGCCATGGTATCATGCTGGACTCAAGAGCTAGAGAGAATCCCATCTTCTTGGCTACATTAAGAATTCTGTCACTTGATGCTTTAGAATTTTACTTTTCTTATTTATCACTATTTAGACTATTTAGTGACGTTTCCTGAACAGTGTTTTTTTTTTTTCCATTTGTTATATGTCCTTAGGAATTCTTACAGAAACTTTAAATGATTTTAAAACAGGGATTTAATCAGTTATGGTAAATTTTCTGTCTCTAAGGTGCTTGTTTGACACAAATATCCTTAAAATAAGCTATAATTCTTGAAACATATTTTACCTTCTGTAGTCACCAATGCATTTGGCTTTTTCCTCCTTCGGTTTGAAATTGGAAAGCCTTTACCATAACCATCAGTTTCAGTTCAAAAAAACATTTCAACTTGAAATATGCAAATGCTGTTTAATTTTCTTTAGCAACATGGATTTTCTGGCATTGATGAGGGGAAAATGTCTCTGACTTGCTAAAACCTTGGTTTGCTTAGTAACTTAATTTCTGAGAACTTCAAAGTATTAGAGAGAGGGAAGTGTCTTCCATTATTTGGGTATAGGCAATTCTTGGTGATAGTGAAGTTATGAGCCACCTTTTGAAGTCTAATTCACACACTCACTAGCTTTTGCACCTCTCTTTACGACATTGGCTCTTAAGTTTTGAGGCCTTTAATGCCATCCAGTAGCTGGTACCCTCAGGGATGGTTACCAGCTTCTGTTTTACAGCAGGGTAATTATTCTCAAACAACCTTATGGTCATGGATAATGGAGCCCCTGAAGACTTAGTATGAGGCAAGCTAGACCTATTACTTATTTTTCTATGGCCTTTGAATTAAGAATTTAAAAAAATATTTTATTTTTTTCATGTGTAAGAGTACTGGCTTGCATGTATGTGGCAGGTCCGGTGCCCACCGAAGCCAGAAGAAGGTGTTGGATCCCTTGGAATTGAAGTTACTGGTGATTATGAATTGCCATGTGCATGCTGGGAACTGACCCTAGGTTTTCTTCAAGAACAGTCAGTGCTCTTAACCACTGAGCAGTCTCTCCAGACCCATGGATAGGTATTTTAAACATTCTGAAAAATATTTGGAAATAAGAAAATTAATTCATGATATACACAAATATGAAATTTGCATTTGTGTCCATACATAAAATTATACCGGTACGTGGTCCCTCCTCCACGTTTGTTGCTGGTCTGTGTCAGCTTCTTTACTCCTATAACTGAGTACAGTAGCTGGGACAGATACTTGAAGTTCTGCAGATCTAAAATTGTGGGTTATCTGGTTCCCAAGATAAAACTCACCTAGTTTAAAATGTGTTTTGGTGAGGCCATGTTGGTGATTGTTTTTAATAGATTATTTTAAGATTCAAAATGTGACATGGCAGAGCCCAACAGAGGACAAAAGGAGAATTTCAGGACATCTAAAATAAATTTTAAAATAAAAGAGAAACAAGAATGCTTCCTATACTTCCATAAATCAGATTATAAGTTGTAAATTTCTCAAGTTTTCCACTTTATCTTAGACCATGATATTATGACAGTTTTCTCTGCAATAAATTTATTTTTAATTTAAAAGGCATCTTATCTGTTATTTGATGTCCCATTTGGGCACACACAGTATGCGTGAAAAGTTAACCATTCTGTGTGGTGGTGTGCACATGTTTATGTGGGTGAATGGACATGTTCTCACATGTGCTATCAGGTTGATGGCAGCTATTTTCCTCAAGTGCCCTTCTCATTGTTCTGTGAGAGTCTCTCAGTTAACCGGGAGATCATCTGTTTACCTAGGCTGGCTGTCCACCAAGCTTTAGGGATCTGCCTGCTCACAGCCCTCAGCACTAGGATTATGAACAAGCCCCAGGTCTGGCTTTTATTCCAGAGTTCTGGCTCCCAGTGAAGGTCCTCACGCTTTTGTTGCAGGCACTGAGCTGAATGAACCATCTTCCCATCCCCACAAAAGTACTTTCTGATCTTATGTCTTCACTATGTCCAACTTCCTGGATACCTCTTTTACTTTAGTTTAAGAACTTTTTTTTTTTTTTTAGATAATTGGAAGAAGTCAGATGAATGGTTCCTTGAACCATATAAATTCTTTCAAAATTTAAGTTGAGATATCGGGGTTTAAGGTCTAAATTTTTTTTTCATAGACTTGGTCTCTTTGTGTGTTAGGTTAGTCTTGAACCTGGTAGAGAGTTGGGGATAACCTTGAACTTTTGATCCCCAGCCTCTTCTCTCCAAAGTGCTAAGATTACAAGCAAACCACACCAAACCTAGTTTATGGGATAATGGTGATAGGTCTAAATTTTTAAACTAGTTTTTTTTTTTTTTTCTGAAAGTTTAACCAGAACATTGACTATATGAATATGCCTGTAATCTCAGGAGTTGATAAATGGAAACAGGAAGTTCCAGGAATTTGATGTCCTTTTGAAGACATTGTAAGTTTGAGGCCAGCATGGGATATTTGAAACTTAGTCTCAAATGAATTATGTTCAGCTTAGTGATAGTCTGATTTGCAGCTCAGGACAGTGGTCTAAATATCATCTAACTAACCCAGAAAACACTGAGGAGTTTTCCTTTCTAGGTATTCCTTGTAGAACCTGGAGTGGCATCAGCTCCCTGATCAGCCCTACTCAGTCTTAGTTCCTGTTAGATTTGTGTTCAGCTAAACTCCAGCATTTTCTTTTTGCTCTTTACTCAATCATACATAAGTTTTTATTTTTTATTTATTTACATTTTTCAAACAATATATTTTGATAATCTCTTCCCCCTAACTCCTCTCAGATCTCTCTTTTTTCCTCCTCACCTAGCTTCCTAAGTTCTTTCTTGCTCACTCTCCCCTCAAAAAATTTAAACAAAAAACAAATAAGACAAAAACTAACCAAAACCCCACAAAACAACACATGGAGTTCATTATGTTGGTTTTTTTTGTTGATGTTGTTGTTATTTTTGGTTTTTTGAGACTTTTTTTTTCTGTGTAGCCTTGGCTGTCCTGAACTCAAAGAGATCAACCTGCCTCTCCCTCTCCAAGTGCTGGGATTAAAGGTGTGAGCCACCATGCCTGCCTGTATGGAATTCATTTTGTGTTAGCCAATTACTCCTAGTTATTCAGCCTGCTATGGAGTGTGGTTGACATACTCAGTGATATACTGTTAAAGGAAATTGATTTGCTCTTTGCCAGTAGGTATCAGTTTCAAATAACTTCTTGGTTAGGGAGTGACCTTTTGTTCAGAAATCTCTCTTGGTGCACTTGGACCCTGTCTGTCTGTCTTGAACCTGTGTAGGTCCTATGCTTGCTGTCACTGTCTCTGTGAATTCATATGTTTATCAGTTCTGTTGTGTCAGGAAGTCACTGTTTTCTTGGAGTCATCCACCACCTCTGGCTCTTATAATCTTCTGGGTCCTGAGCCTTGATTAGGAGGGGTTTGATAAAGATATCCCCATTAGAACTGGGGTGCTCCAAAGTCTCTCACTTTCCACACACTGTCCAGTTGTGGGTCTCTGTGGTAGTCCCATCTACTACAAAAAGAATCTTCTCTGATGAGGGTTGGGTGAGACATTGACCTATTGGCACAGCAGTATGTCATTAGGAATCATTTTATTGCTATGTCTCTTTAGCAGAATAACGGCAGTAGGTTTTCCCCTAGACCTACGACTAATGCAGTCTCACGATGTTGGCCACTTTAGCAGTGTCGGGTAGAGGTTCCATGTCATGGACCAGGACTTAAATCCAATCAAAAAAGTAGTTGGTTGCACCCGTGACGTTTATGCCACCATTGAACCAGCATATTTTGCAGGCAAGTCACTGTTATAAGATGTAGGGCTTATAGCTGGGTGACACTGAGGCTTACTTTTCTCCTCTGGTACCATGCAGAGTAACTTCCAGCAGCATAAATACTGGTCAATAAGTGTTTAGTTGGGTACCAGCTTGACTTCCCCATGTTTGGTGACATAAGTAAGTGTTGTCTTCAGCAATTATGGCCTTCCTATCAGGTTATGGAGAGCAACCAGTATCCTTGACAACCTCCTGGGGTGATGTATGGTAGACCTTTGGCCAACAATTCAACAAGATGCAAATTACTTTTGGCACAACCTCTAGTTATTTTCAAAAGAGTTTTCCAGGTCAGGCCCTTGTCTTCCATTCTGTTTATTGTATATTTATGGCAAATATATTTGATGCTTATATATATGTGTGTGTGTGTATTTATAGCAATAAAGTTGATTGACTATAAGAATGTCATATAAAGAATGTATTTTTAGCTTTCAGTGTGCTAAAAATTGAGTATTGAGTTAATGTCTTTTAAAGGTAATATGTATGCTTTTCAAAAGATCATGATTTAGTCAACTATAAGTATTCTATAGAACAAAGAAGTTGCTTTAAATGAGCATTGCTTAATGGTATGAAATATTTCAAGAGATATTTTCCATCAAATATTTGAAAGTAATCATATGCATTACTAGGTGCCTCTTGTAAAACTGTTTTTATTTACAAAAGTTAATAGCACCTATATTAAATCATCAATGTGGATTTTTAATATATCCTAAAGCCCAACATGCTACTTTATAATTTGGTTATCGAGGAGTCCAAGTTTCTTGTGGTTTGGAAGACAGGTAATAAACTTACATAGCTTCTAAAACTTAAAACTCTAACATTTTTTTGATGGTGAAATACCAAGACATAGGCAGATGGTAATAATTTTGAAATTGTGTGGTTTTCTGCTCTGAGCCCAATAGATTTTCAATGATTTCACACAAAGTGTTATCCATATTGTACATCCTCTCCTTCCCAGTCATGCCAGGTTGGGTGGCTCAGGGCCATTGCTGTGCTTCTGTATCGGCTGCTTTCTGAAACACTTTTGTTTAACTTTTACAGGCATCTAGTGGAAATTACTATTTCATCCCCTACACTGTGACACCACGTGGTGATTATTTGTGCTGCGAGAGTGATGCCCAAAGGAGAGCCTCAGAATACATGCAACCAAACTGGGACACAATCCTGGGCCCACTGTGTATGCTCCTGGTGGACAGGTTCACTAGCCTCCTTAAGGACATCCGTGTGACCTCATGGTAATTTCTGTCAGCCACTAAAAATCATGGGAGTTTTGCAGAAATGTCCCTCTACTTTCAGGGGGGGGGGTAATAAGATTTCCTTTGAAGTGCCCAGGATGCCCAGAGAATAGGGCTCACTGATTATCCACTTAATCGTCCTGGAATCTATCCTGGCTCTCTCAGTGCCTGGCTAAGCTGAGTTCCTAAGATGAAGCCAGAAGAGAAGCAGACTGAAGTTCATAAGATCAGAATTGGGCCTGTGGCTAGCCATGGTTCCATATGTGATCTTGATATGTAACTCTTCCATATTGCTCTTTTCCTTGTTAGAAAATATCTTTATCAACTCAACAAGATCCTGTGCTTTCATGTAGTTTGTGAACAAACTTTATACTCAGGTTATTCAGGTCCTCAGAATGCCAGAGCAAGATCATTCTAACCTTGAGTTCTTGTTGTACGCATTCATTAAGTCAGGCTTCTGCCAGCCTGACCTCAGGATGTCCTGTGACATGTTATCCTTTGATTTTCCTCATGGGGAACAGTATCCACTCAGAGGTGGACAGGTTTGAGTATGAATTGATCGCTTTGGAGAAGTAACTTGCTGTACTTGGTCCTTTGTGCTCAATGAACTCCCCCGGTGATGTTAGTGAAAAGTTGAAGGCAAGAAATGATTCTTAACTAGAAGAGCCCTGTTGTCTTGCTCACAGCCAATTTAAAGGATTTATTCCTGTTAGTTGTGTCATCAGAAGAATTTGTTCTTCTAAAATAAATGAAAATCCTAAGGATTTGCAGAACTGACTTGTACCGAAATGTCAAGGACTTCATGTCCTACTTTGGCTCACATCATGGCTCCCTGAACTATGGAGGGTCCCATTAAAGTACTGGCATTAACGTTACATTTATTAGCATCCTCTCATCTTTTCTGTTCTGTTACCCTTTCTTGGGGTACAGACTTTAGTGGGGAAGAATTCTCAAGACCCAGGTGCAGCAGCAGAAAACAAATAAGGGTTTCTTTGACACCTCACTATCTATTGTTTCACTTCAAAAGAAAGATGTTAGTGACATTTAGGGAGAAACCTCTCCTAATAACATACTTTAGTTCTAAAAAAGAGGTATATTGATTGAATCTGATGGAGCATTCGTGTCTTTATGCTTTTTACATACTCTCTTGTTTATGTGCTCACAAGAGAAATTTTTATTTTATGTTAGAAAACATTTTGCAGAAAAAAATATAACAAGAAAATCTAAGGATGAAAGGTACAGTTGTCTATAATCTTCCTGGCATGTCTTCTGTGTATCTATTGTTGGATTGATCAGAGGCACAATACTAGTTTTTCTTCTTCACCTGGAACACCTTCATGACTACTAACTTGGAACACTTCGTAGATGAGAATGTCTCTAAAATGAATTTACCTAGGTTTCAAGAGAATGTCTCTAAAATGAATTTACCTAGGTTTCGTGTCTTTTGGAGTTTTTTTGGCTTTTGATAATTTGTTTATAGTGGGGGAAATTAAATAATCAGGTAAACTTGTTTGCTTCATGTCGTGTGTGTGTGTGTGTGTGTGTGTGTGTGTGTGTGTGTGTGTGTGTGTGTGT